AGTATTTTTTTTAAAAAAAAGAGGAGTAGAAGCTTATAAATTTCAGTATGAGAACGTATTGAAAAGCAGAAGGTTTGACCTAAAGTCACCATCCTTTTTGATTGAGTCTTAGGATGTTATAAGGGAAGAATGTGCTTCATCAGCAAGTATTGGAAAGCTGTCCTTCTTTTGAAGTTTTGTATCCAGACACTGAAGCCCCATTGAAATATCCTATATATCATGCAGTATAAGACCATGTATTGTATCATTTCTGTACCAGACAAGATTATACACAAGTATTCTTCACTCTCTTGTATTTGAGAGCAGATTGTTTATTACTTGTTCTCTATAATTTTTTACCTGGCAGAGGGGTTGTTTTGAATTTCTCTCCCTGTCTTCAATTATCCATGTATCTCTGCCCAAGGGTTGGGAGCCAGTCCTGGACCTGGAAGAAGCATCTCACCCCCTTTCCAGGGGCTGCTCCCTTTGGCAGTCGCCCTTCCTAAGGGACACTCTCGGAGTCCTGGTGAGAGAGAGCTGGTCTGCAAATCTTAGCCTGCAGGCTCCAGGGCTCTTACCCAGCAGACTTCACCAGAAGTAAAAATTACTTGGGGAAAAAATATAAATGATGCAAACACAGGATGTAACAGGAGGAATAGCCTTAAGTACTTTAAATTGAGGGAACTGAAAGTCCTCTCGCTGCACCATGACATACTAAGCGAAGTCGTTCTAATTAATCTTCTTTTAATATGGAATAATAGTCAGAGAAAATGCAACACAACCCATACTTCTCTGGCTAACATGTATCCAGGAGACAGAGTGGATTTAAAGTAAGGTGATTTTTGAAGGACAGTAGAAGTAAATTCCTGAAAACAGCAATTGATCAATATGGACAGTGGCAGGTAAAAGCAGTACAAATACCTTCTCTAAAAGCATTGGATGTAGTAATTCCCACAGGCACCAGGAGGCTGTTAGCTAATCAGACAGCGATGCACCATAAGCTTCCCTATCTGGTAAAAAAAAGAAAAAGAAAAAAAAAAGCAGAAAAAAGAGAAAATCTCTAAGCATACGTCAGCAAGTGACAAATGTGCATGCTTGGGCTCTCTGGAATATGGGAAAGCCATGATCAAGGCTGTGACTCATTCCTGAATGACCAGGGCACCAAGGAAGATGTTGGCTGTGTTTCAGGATGGAACTGGCCATGTGGCCGTGGCATCTACCCCAGGCCAGCCTGGTGCTGCAAGAGAGCTGCTTGGCAGAGAATGTCGAGCAGGTTTTGAAGAGCCAGCCTGTTCTGTGTGCATCTTCGAGGCAGCTCTCTCCCACTGACAATAGGTAAGTACAGGAGAGTGTTTGCAGGGGACTCTGCCAGCCACTCTTCGTGGCTGGCAGGAGATCATGTTTTAACATCCTGCTAAGTGGGTCCCAGAGAGGCCAGGTATCCTCTGTGAAGGTTGAAGAAGGTCTGTGCTGAGCAAACTTGGCCATAACCAGGGGAGCAGAAAATGCTAATGGCTTGTACTTCAACCAGAGCCAACCCATCAGATGTTAAACAGACTTCTGTGAGAGTCCATGAGCAATCCACAACAAGTGTCACTGGTCCTGCAGGAGCAGGAGCTCCTGTACATAACTTTGATCACCACTTTTCACATCCATCCACCAAATATATAATGGAGATTATATTATACTCCCACGCAGAGATGGTACTGTGTTCATTATAGGTTATACTTTATTCTGGCTGTATTATAAATTCTGTTTTCTCCAGACATAAGCACAGATCAAGAAGGGCATGTAAGTGCTGAAGTTCAATCCTGTCTCATCAGTTTTATAGACTTAGAGTACCATCAGATGGGGTAAGAATGTCTCCTTGCTGACTACTGCTTACTAAGCTTCTTTCCTCTCCAATCCAACATTTAAGATCTTGCCATTTATCTATGCAAGCTCTGGCACCTGTAGGACCCTCTCTGTGCTGATACAGCTCACTAACCTGGCAGACAAAAATGGTACAGCAGAAAAGACGTAGTTTGGTTTAGGCTGAGTTAATGAGTTGAACTCAGCCCTGGCTTTGTTTGCATAGGCAAGCTGGAAATCTCCTTCCCCAGTGGGATGGAGCTAATTCTCATCTTTTTAGATCATTTTAGATCATCTCCTGCATCATTTTCTTTTGATGCAGGTAAGTAACCTGCAAGATGGACTATACACCTTTTGCCCCCCTCTGCCTGGAAACACTTTTTTTGTCGTTGCAGATGGAGCCAGGACTGAACATTTCCTCCCCAGAACCACGTGGAGCTGGGCTTCAGGGGTATAGGCTGCTTGAAAACTGGAAGAAATGCACAGCACAGTAAGTGTTGGGAAGGGTGAAACAGTGGTTAAATAAAGCAATAATTTTTTTGGGCATCTGATAGCCTGACTGTCAGGCTGGGCACCTGTGGGTTATTTGTTTTCCCTTAGATTTGTATCTTCCAGAGCTGGTTTGTTAATATTTTTCTTAAAGCAGTTATTTGTCAGTGCACTGTGTTTTAATTATGCTTCCTGCATGAGTGCTGGTCTGGTCTTGTGATGCAGTGAAAAGCATTCTCTGTAGGGCATATCCTCAACTCCAACCTCTGGGCTGCCCCAACCTTGTTGCAGGGCTTAGTCCCTGTGGAGGGATCAGGACTTGGTGTGCTCAAGGAGGACCCAAGCAGGGAAACATCTCTGTCTGTGCACAGTTCCAACTGCTTTCCTTAGAAGTGTCTTGAGAGCAAGATAAAAAGGGCTGGGGCTTGATGCTGATACCTGACTTCTGGGCTGTGGAAATATTCCTTACAGTGGTTGCTTTCTCTTTGTTCAGCTCTCAGCTGTTCCTCTTCTCTGCTGCCAAACCTTTCTCTTCCTTCTGCCTGAAGCCCCTCTGAAAACTGTCCCACAATTATTTGTCTCTATTCCATATTCAAGCTCCACCTCTCTGCAGAAATGCCTGGAAAAACTGCCTGCCTTGGACTGCAGCTCATGAGCTCACCTACAGTGTGATTCAAGCGCAGTCATCAAAGGCTACTGATACTCCGTTGTCTTGAATTACATCTATATTGCATGATGTAGTGGAAAGCTATCCAGTAACCCCTATTAATTTAGTCAGCATACTAAGCAGTTCAGCCAAGCTACTGTGGGTCTGCTAAAGGGTTCTTTTACTCCCTCTAGAAGATCAGCAGTGACAAATCTTAATCAGGTGGGTGCAATTAATATGTTCATCCAAAACTCAAGTTTAGCTAAACTTTCCATAAGAAACAAAAAAACTATCCTGAATAAATCCATAAATCAGGGAAAAAAGAGGAAAAATGTGAGGGCTCTTGTTTTATAGTGTTGATTTTACTAATTCCACTGCTAAAAGGATATTTTGCATCTGTGTTTAATCACCAGGGGCTATTCACAGCTGTGTGAGCACACAGCTGTAATAGAGCCATTGGCTGTGAATGTGTCCAGTCTGATACTGGAAATAGCAATCTCACTTTTAGGGGAGGGGACACCTGAAGTGGCTTTTCCCAAGGAAAGGCACATGAGTGTGAGAAGCACTGAGCTGGACAGGAGTCAGTGCATGACCAGGTTGTGGGAGGAGCTGTGTGTGCTCGTGAGTGCAAAAGTAACTCCTGTTCAAACACTCAAGAGGTACCTGGGATGAAGGATAACTGAAGGGTCAGGTGTTCCCTGCAGTGAAGGCTCTCCTTCCTATCCCATTTTAATAGTATTCCCCATGGTTCCTCCATCTGTCATAGTCTGCATTAGACATGAAGGGATGAAATGACCCTTATCATTTCCCCTCCCAGTATAAGTGAGAACTGTTTGTGCTTTGTTTGATTAAAACATGCTGGTGGTTGTTTTCAGGACTCGCTAATGCCAGGATTAATCTGAAGCTACTGTACAAAGAGTTCATTCTGGTCCCTCTGACAATAGGCTTACTGTGACACTGGTCTCAGTTTCGGTGTGACATCCGGGCTTAGGTACAGCATGGTAGAACTGCACCTCTGTGCATTATCCTCTCAGCAGATAAAACAGTGGCTTGTCCTTACTTAAATGGTCCCTGGAAGAAAGCAAAGCTGCAGCATTAAACCTATTATGGATCAGCTTGCAGTGAGCATTCATCGATTTTAGGAAAGTCTTGCCTGGGACCAGAAGAGTTGTGAAGGAGAGAAACACGAAGCAGAAGACTGACTCACTGCTGCCTAAAAAGCTGAAAGGAGAAGAGTGAAAATACCACAATTACAGCAAATCTCTTTTGCCAGGCAGCTTGGCATCATGGGCAGCAGACAGCACAACTTTCCTCCAAATAGGTACAGATGGACAGCATGACGAAAGCAGTAGATAAAGGACCTTAGGCTAGGGCCTATTCTACTCTTGAGCAGTGGCAAGGGCTATGTTTGGTCACGAAATGTGGAGACGTCACCACATTCCAAGTGCTGAGTGCAGTTAGGGATGCAGTAGATCTCTTGCTAGGACATGTGTGTGGGGGAATGTTTCCCAGAGCCGGAGAAATTTAAATGTAGAAATTCCTTCTTGTCTTACGCATTGCGCCAAGGAAAACACAGCACTGGGGCCAGGGAATCTCACAGCAGAAAGAAGCGAGTCCATGAGTGAGTCCGCTGTAGCATCCATAATGGGCATGAATGCATGCTGGCCCTTCACATGGGGGAGAACTGGAAACGGCTTTGGACATAGCCCTGCCCTGTGGCTGGTTGGTGTCGATCCTATCTCAACACAGAAGATGGAGAAAGCACCACTGGCCTGCCAGGCTTGGCAATACTGGAAGAGAGAAGGTAAAGGAAGGGAGGATGGAGGGACCAAAGGAGGCAAGGAAACATGTAAGTCGAATATCTTTTAAAGAAAGTCTTACATCAACCCCTGTGTTACTGAACCAAGACAGTCAAGTGAGAAAGTCATTAGAGTTCATTACCCCTTGCAACTTATGGCCATTAATTCTCTCTAGCAGCAATACCTAATGTTGCAGCAACATCCAGCCTATGGCTCTGCACACTGGAATGTAGAGGCACACCAGGGTACAAATACTTGCCTCATAGACGTTAAGGAAGTTGAAGAAGATAAAAAGGATACCATGGAGAAAAGAGCAGGTAAGTGAGCAAGGTGAACCACAAATCATTGACAGATATTGCTCCTCCTGGCACCAAAGTTCAGCAATGCATCCACAGGAGAAAACACCTCTTCTGGGAATGACAGACACACTTCACCTGTTGTTTCATGTCTCTTCACCTTCTCTGTGTTGCCACATGAATTCTCAGTCATAAAGCTCCTTATTAGCTTAGTCCTTAAATACTCCAGTTAAGAAATTAACCTGACTCAACACTCCTTCCTATACTGAAATGGCCCAGGAAGTGCTGAGTCTGCTTTAAGCCAAAAACTCTCATGTAACAGCCTGAAAAGGGATTTGTCACTAGGTTTTCTCTACTATTGCTTTCAGGACCACTGTGTCTGTCTTCCTGGGAAAAATAAATATTCTGGCACGCACAGCTATCAACTTGTCTTTTAGATCCCTTTACCCCCTAGAAAACTCTACTGTGTAGTTTGTAGTTGGGGTTTTCAGACCAAATCATAGGTGATAATCGAGATTTCAGTAACAAAGGATCTTCAAAGGGAATACTTGATCTTTCCCTATGATAATCATGGAAGTCTGCTTAAAGCACACACACTCCCCCCCCAGCTCTGGTTATGGATTCTAAGAGAGAGGAATACTCTCTCACAGAGTGTACCCGTTAGCCACTCTTTGATCAAAGCCTGGATCAAAGCCTGGCAGTTGGTATCCATCCAGAAGCAAACAAATAAATGCACAGGTGGAGAAATGAGGATCTGAAATTTGCCCTTGGGTAGCCAGTCTTCTATGTCAATACTGTGAGTATTCTCAGCTGTTAAGTAAAAGCCGAGAAGATAAATCCCAAATATAAGAAATTAAAATCAATAAACTCACTGAGTCCTCCATGTCACAGTTCAGGCTCATAAAGAGATACAGCCACTAAATCCCTACAGTGCTGCTTTCTCACAATTGCACACATTAGGAAAAGGGAGGAAAGAGTTATATGAAACATTTGTCTGGGTATAGGAATCAGTTATCTTAATGATGCAATATCAAAAGGAAATATTGTCTCATTTAGACATCTACCAGCTACAGTCACTACAATACCCCCAAAAGAATGGTAATTATTCTCACAGATGCCTAGAAATTAAGAATTATACTTTCACTGTGTTTAATATCCTAGCTGTGCTTTCAAGGATCATCTGTCTTGGTAAAGCTTTGGGGATCTAATTCAATTGCTTTTTGCCTGTCATTGCTTATTTATAAAACACGTGTCCTTCTGGTGATACTTTGTTCCAGTGGGTCTCCCAGAAACTGGAAAAACTGATGAACAAGACAGATGTGATCTGCTCACCATGCCTGTAGGACTGCATCCTGTCCTCAACTGTCTCGTTTTGCAAAACACAGAATATACCTAAAAAATGCATCTGCCTCAAGCTGATCATGCCACACGGTAGGGCAGAGGCACAGCCACCTTTTGATACTTTGTGCTGATTGTTCTGCTAAAATCAACGGCTAACTTGTGATTTTTCACCACAGCTAACAGCATCTTCAAGGTGTGAGACCTTTGTTTACCTGTGTGCAGACAAAGAATAATTTATAATGGATTATTTACAAGGTCACTCCATTATGGAACAGCTTTACCTGGAGCCCCAGGTAAAGGCAACCAAAATGCAGCCATTCCTCGGGTGAGACAGTGCAGTGCTTGGTGATGTCACATGCATGTGCTAATGATAAAGACAAAGCATCACAGAGTAACGCTAGAGGATGAGAAGAAAAGTAGTCTGTTGCTGTGGAGCTGTGAGTAGAGCATAAGAAGCTAACACGGGCATTTTCACCTGGGCTTTGCACATATCCAGTGTCTAGCAGTAAGGAAACAGTGCCAGGAACAAGCCCAAGGACACAATGCTACGAGGAGACTGCAACACAGGAAGGTAGGATTTTGGAAAGTACTGCAAAGTGGATGTCAGGAGCCTTAGCAAGGAAGGAGTGTTGGTGGTCCCATGAAGGACTGAGTGGGATACAGGACATGGAGGTGGTAGAGAGAGGAGAGGCACCAAACCCGCTTCTGCTGTTAAGCTTGTTCTGAGCTGTGTTCCAACACAGCAGCTGAAAATACTAGAAGTACTAAAGATGGACTAAACTTGAAGGTCACAAATACTCATCTTGAATTTTATGCCTCTCCTCATATGCTTAAAATTAACTATATGCTTAAGTTCTTTCAGGGTGGAAATGCTAACTGACAGGCAGCATCAAATTTCAGGCTAAAAAGTGAGCAGATTCTTATTATTTTTCTATAGAAAACAAATGGCAATGCCTTTCAACCCTGAAAGTTACCTCTCTCAATAGTCTAGAGTATAGTGTTCTTCTGATTAACAAACCACAAGATGGATTTATTTCCAAACATCTGATGCCGTGCGAATAATTTTCTTAATCAAAACGAATAAGCAGGAAGCACATATTTTATCATTGCTGCTATGATAGCTGTGAATTATTGCATTTTTCACTCAACTGCTCTTGTGGTTTTGTACAGTTTTAGGAAATACATGAAGAAGTCATTCTGGAGATGGTTTTAATGGGATAGTATAGAAGTTTGGATTCATCTGACTACCAGATGCTGCGTCATAAAGAGAGAGAGAGCCGTTTCAGAGGTAATGGATTATGGATAGAGTTTGTAGGATTCAGTATTTATTATTCTTCAAAATAATTGATTTACATCAACAGCGATTTTGCTTGTCCAAGATGACTGCCAGTTATAATTTCTGGTCAACGTGGGAGAGCATCTGACCCTGGCACAGCAACAGCACCAGCTGTACAGTTGCTGGTGCAGGTCTGAGGGCAACAGGGAGAGAGACAGAAAAAGCAGCCAAAAGTGGATGTAGGAGAAAAACAGCCCGTGCTGTTCACTCTCCAGTCTGGAGAGTGAATAAGGGAAAAAACGGATAGTTTTTTAACATTTATTGATTAAACCCTGCCCGGTCTCTTCACAGGGCACAGCTGTCTGCTGTAAAAGTAAAAAGCCAGCACAGATCAACAGCAGAACTGTGTAGGGAGGAGTGCAGCTGCACGGCTTCAACAAATCTGGTGGTAAATGTGCGTGTCAGAACAAAAGCTCTGGGCTCTCCCAGGTGCTCCCGGGGCTGTGAGCTTGGTCTTTATCACTGAGCTACGGCTGTGGGTCTTCAGGGAAGCAGCTGCTGTAAGGAGAGACGGAGTGTTTGACTCCACCTCCCATTAGTGTAGGATTCAAACCGTGTCACTAGGCTGGCTGGATTTCTCTCACACTCACATGCATGCACACAAACAAAATGACGATGATGGCAAAACACAAGATGGGAAGTGCAGCTGTCAGGAATTTCTTGGTTCACATGAGGAAGATGGAGAGTGGCCAAGAGAATTGAGAGAGGGTGGGTAAATCCCTCATAAGGAAAAACAAAGTAGACAGAAATCCTGAAAACAGGAGGTCTTTTAAGGCTTGAGAAAGTGGAAAGAAAAGAAAATGGTGTGGAGGCAGAGGAGGAGAAAAAAGAGAGGAAAATCAGAGAGAAGCTGGGGAGTTATTGATGCTGTAGGATCAGAGACCTGATGGCTGTGTGCTAATTGTGCTCAGTTTATAATAAGCCTCTAACTTCAGCCCCAGCTGCATTCAGATGAGCAGAGAACACGTTCCATAGCACTTGTTAGGGAATGTTGTTGTGCTACTGAGACAAAGGAAATGAGCTAGTGGCCTTTGTGTCCACCTTCTAGCAGGAGTGAGCTGCCACAAAACCAGAAGTTGTGAAGTTCCCAAATGATCTGGTGTGCTCAAGCTCCATTTAAATTTCTGCTAGAGAGCTGTGAAACCAAGCCCTCAGGTAAAGATGGGAGTGAATCTGGGTGAGGCCAGTGCCTGTGGGCAACTGGAGGGATATGATGGAGGAAATCGCTCTGGCTGCTAAATCTGTGCACATGCAAAAGAAATAATTTACAATTGCAAAGTGTTGTAGTGGCCTCTGAAATATGTATCTGACAAAAAGGCTACTTAAAATAAAGGGCATTTGTTAGTTCTGGAACAAAGCAGCAACATAAGTTCAGAGATACTTCTGAGGACTATAGAAGGTTTCCTTTGCTGTGTTTCCATTTGTAACAGAGACACACAGGGAAAAGAGGACTGGGGCAGCTGCAGTCCTAATTGCTGTACGAGGTGGCTGGAGCTCCATTCCTGAAGGAAGAAAGGTCCAGGAGAGGTCAAGGATGGAAGAAAAGCAGTTTGTCTTAAGCAAGAGGATGAAGAGCTGACTTGGAGGGAGCCCTTTGGAGTGGGTCTCAACCCACCTGATCTTTGACTGCCAGGTTAAACCTGAGGGCCAGTCACCTGAGGAGGATGCTGGTTCACATTGTAGCAGTGCCTGGTAGACCCCCAAAGGGGGACCACAGGACAGAGAAGTCAGTGCCAAGCACATGCTTTTCAGTCTGCTTCTGTTTCTCTTTTGTAAGTCTTCAGTTCGACAGCTGAGAACTTAATTAACACTTCACTATGCTAGAGTACTTTTGTCTCTAAGCTTGGCTATGCCTGAGCCCAGACCAGTCCAAGGCTTGCTGCTCCTCTAGAAGTAATGATTCCCCATAAGGTAGTGTGTGCAGACTGCAAACCAGTATATGTTAGGAAATGGCCATGGTATGATGACACACTAGGGCTCATCCACCAGCCTGAAAGAGCCAGCCTGGGGTAGTACCAGTGACAGTTCACACAAAGGAATTCCTTAAGTTTACCTTCCTGGCTATCTTGGGCTGTGGATAAGCTAGTGGGAGATAGCTCAGTATGCCTTTTTATGCCAAAATGTCTCACCTAACAGAGATAGCCTCACCAGGTAAAGCAGATGGCACCATTATTGGGAAAAAAGCAGGGACGTTTTGTAATGGGACCTGTCTCCAGCCTGGTATTTCAAGATCTCTTTTGAAGAGTAAAATGTGTGCAAATACCTCCCCCTACAAGGTGAGCCATTTCCCCCCAATGCCTTTTGCATGAGCATGATAATTGGAACTGCTTATCTGTGCTGAAATGCACCTGTCTCCCTCCTGTCCTCCCTCCCTCTCCTGAGTTCTCAGGCCCACATGCCAAGTTCTTTCAGTCACTTATCAGGCAGGTATGTAGGAAATGCAGCGTTAGTTCAAGGCCATGTACTAATAAAGTAAACAAACCACAAAAGGCACCACCTGGTCAACATGCTTAACCTTTTCTGCAGCAGATAAACTCAGAAGGAACTGATGAAGCAACAATTATTGTTATGTTTACATATTCATCAACTCAGCTGAACAGGATTCATCCCTGGTCAGTCCTCCCTTGCTGTTATATCACTCCAGGGAAGTGTGTTTTATTCAACTGCCTGTGAAACCTGGCTATTAATAGGGGCCTAAAGTGCACCAAATTGACCATTGTCAGTCCCATTAAGATGCATAAGTGCATATTACTCATTTTATAGTTTGTGTGTAATTTGAGCCTTTCAAATTTCCCTTGAAAGCCTTAGCTAGTTAGTCTCCTTAAGCAAAGGTGATGAAGGTCAGGGAAGTGCTGTTGGACTGATTGCTATAAGGTGTTGGGGCTGAAACTGTACTTGAGTTCAGGACACAAACTACCAGAGGCTGTGAAAGTGTGTTGATGAAATATGATGGCTGTTGTTGGTGATGGCCTACTGTGTTAGATGGGCTATTTTTCCAACCCAGTTCAGCTCGCAGCCCACGTGATGACAGCATATGGCAGCTTTGATTTGTACTTTTAACAGGGCAGCTGGAGAGAACTCCAGGCTAACCTAGGCCATTTAAAGGGCTTACAAACCTCAACACATGCTAAAAGATACAATCCTATCAACCATGTCTCCAGCTCATTAAATATTGCTGGTTTAAGAAGGAACCATCAGAAGACAACGTGTTCTTGTTTTACCTGACCACACTGGGACTGCCTATACCAATCAGTGGGTGGTTCTAGCCTGGCTGAGCATTTTCCCAAGCAGCAGATCTGGGTAAGGACATGCTGGCAATATGAAAATCACTTTTCAGAACAATGCTATACCTTCAGGAAGGGAAAATCATGGTCTTTTATGGGAACATAGGTACCTAAAATATATGTACTTGGACTATGAGGCTCATAGCATGTTACAACTTCCCTTATCTCTGGGCATAGAAATTCTGAGAACCCTGATCACCTTGGCATGAATTATTGAAATAAATGGAATGAATGCTTAAACCCAAGAAAATGTGTCTGAGATACAAGGTGCTTTTCAAGCATCTCATTGTTTCCTTCTTCACTGTATTGCCTGCTGCATCCTGAGCACTGCAGATAGTCTTTAATTCCATTAGCTCTGTACAGGAGTGCTTAAGCTGACCACTAGCATCCTGCCACTAGGAACAAACTTCCCTAAGGTGAATTATTACACAATTATGAAAGTTTTGTAACCTTTTCTGAGGCATTCAGTGCTGATCACTGTGTGCAGGCAGGACTTTGGCTGATAGGGACTACTGGCCTTGAGTAGGAAAGCAATGGTATTAAGTTCTTCCTACTGAAATGAAGTCACAGGTTTTGCTTTTTATCTTGAAGGAACTGAAATTTAATGTCAATTCGGATGTAGCATGGGAAGGTAATGAAGAAAGAGAGAGCAGTAGGATCTGAGCAAGGTGGGAGCAAAGAGGCATTGGATAAATTCTCTTTCCTGTTTTCTGGAGAATGTGTGTCATGTCAACCTGCTTTATGTTTCGTAACAA